TTCAAATGTATATTTGTGCGGGCCCATCACTCGGCGTAAGTGATGCTTCATCGATTTCACAGCTGCTTCCCATAGACCACCTTCGTGTGGTGCGGCAGGTGTGATAAATTTCCATCGTGTACCTTGTAAGTTGATGGAACGGCGTAGCTCGGTTGAATGCCAGCTTTCGTAGGCTTCACAAAGCTCTTTGTTGGCTGCAAAAAAGTTAAGGCCATTGTCGCTGAACATTTGTTCGGGTGCACCTCGTTTTGCTACAAAACGAAGGAAGGCGGCTTAAAAGGCGTCAGATGTGAGGGCCATTACGGCTTCGAGATGAATGGCACGAGTGACAAGGCATACGAATACGGCTACGTATCCTTTTAACTCTGTTTCCAGAGCTGTGCGTGAGCGCGTGTTTGTTTTTATTTTATCGCTCAATCGCACATAGAAAGGGCCTGCCATATCAACACCGCTATTAAGAAAAGGTCGTGCAGGCGAGACACGTTCAAGCGGTAAATCGGCCATGATTTGTTCCTGCATTCTTTTGGCATAGCGTGTACATCTCGGGCATTTTGAGATGAAGTTTTTTAACTGTAGGTGGTTCGAATATGGGCCATCATTAATTGTGTGCCACCATGCAGTGTGTCACTGTGGGCTTGTGACATAATCAAGAAACATAGTCTTGATCTGGGCGGTATTATAATGGGATGTTTCTGCTGGTAATCGATTGAGGCCTTTTTCAATCTGCCACCAACACGCAAAACACCATTTGTGTCAAGAAATGGGTTTAATGACAATATTTTGCTTTTTGTAGGCATTTCAGTGTCTTTGGCTTTCAGGCATACTATTTCTGCTTTATATGCAATGGCTTGAGCACATTTGGCCCAATACTCAGTGGCCTCTCTGAGTTCATCGGCTTTTAGCATTTGGCTTATTGATCGCTTTCTCGGGTCTTTGATTCGTGTGTTTCTGACGAATCGCAGAGCTATGGCTGTGATACGGACTATCTTCCCCCAGTTGGAATATTTTTCCAATAAATTAAATTTTTGGAAGGCAATTGGCGTACATGAAATCATTGCGAGAATTTCCGGTGGCTTGCATTCTTTCGCTATTTCAGCTCGGGCTTCTTTGTTTCTTTCGCTATTTCAGTTTGGGCGTTGGCCATTCTTCTTTGGCTTTCAATAACCATTCTGGGCCTTGTTTCCAGAATTTCGACTTTATGATCTCGTCGGCTTTTATTCCTCGGCTTATTAGGTCAGCTGGATTGTCTTGTGACACCACATGTGCCCAGATTTCGCTGGGCGCTCACAGAAGGCGTCAATTGTAATATTTGTGAACTCTGGTAGTAATTTACTAAATTACCACCATTACAATGTGCGGCATGGTGATTTTTGTACTCGTATGTATTGTATTTGCTTTGCTGTGACAGCGCTGTACAGTATTACCACCAACACTGCGTTGAGCGATAGTAATACGAGGGTCACTATTTAAGTTTTTTCAAAAACATATATAAGACAATGGGGTTTCATCGAAAATGGTTTTATTGTTTTTCAAAATATTCGCCATGATGATCAATACACTTTTGCATTCGCTCGAACCATTTGTCATAGCATTCATGCCACTCCGAAAGTGATATCTCCAAAACGTGTGTTTTGAACGCATCAACTGCTTCTTCGGGCGATGAAAATCATTGAGCACGCAGTTTATTCTTCACGTTCGGGAATAAAAAGAAATCGTTGGGTGCCAAATCAGGACTGTACGGCGGATGACCCATTAAATCGATCTTTTGACCGGTCAAATAATCGACTGTTTGATGAGATGTGTGAGAGCTCGCATTATCATGATGAAGAATTATTTTGCGACGGCGGTTGTTTTTTCTTATTTCACCAAACACTTCGGGCAAACAAATGGTGGTGTACCAATCAGAATTGACGGTCTTACGAGCCTCTAGTGGAACTGTTGCCATATGACCAATTATCGCGAAAAAACAGGCGACCATTTGCTTCGCAACACTTCGAGCTCGAACAACTTTTGTTGGGTTATCTTCACTTTGAAAGACCCATACAGTCGACTGCTGTTTAGTTTCGGGCTCATACGCGTAGATCCATGATTCGCCACCAGTGATGATAAAATACACGGATTTTGAAACACCACGATTGAATTTCTTGAGCATTTGTTTACACCAATCGACACGAGCCTTTTTTTGAGCGATTGTCAAATTATGTGGTATCCAACGAGAGCAAATCTTTCTGACAGCTAAATGTTCATGTAAAATCTTAAATACGCTGGTCGCACTAATGCCCAGGGATGCCTCAATCTCGTGATATGTTACATGACGATCTTCCATTATCATATTTCTGACAGCATCGATGTTTTCTGGTACAACAACTGATTTTGGACGACCTTCGCGGAACTCGTCGATGAGCGATAGGCGACCGCGCTTGAATTCGTTGTACCAATTATAAATTGTCCGAAGACTTGGTACTTCATCGCCAAAGGCCAAATGAAGTTGATCAAAACACTGTTGTTGTGATACACCCAATCGAAAGTGGAAAAAAATAATCGCTCGAAAATTTTCACGAGTAAAATTTATTTTTTGGCTGAGACGCAATTTAGATGTCACTGTAAACAATACAAATAACGATCGAATGACAAAACGTTCTGAGAACGTTTATGCTACAAAATGTTAAACTTAACGAATATGACAATGGTTTGCATCGGGCAATACTAAAACATACATATTGAAGAAACTTAAATAGTCGCCTACGTATTGCTCAGCAAAGCAAATACAATACATACAAAAATCACCATGCCACACATTGTAATGGTGGCCGACGAAAGTTTTTAATACTGACGGCGATTGTCTCAACCAGTACAGCACAATTGTCGAGTCAGTCCAGGCATATAAAGGGACATCTTTGAAATCGCATATTTTCAGAGTATGGTTAAGCATTCGGCTCAACATGACTGCGCCTTGCAGCTCAAGGCGTGGTATGCTCACCGGCTTGATTGGTGCAATTTTCGATTTTGATGTGAGGAGTATACATTTGATTTGACCATCGGCATTGATAGTTCGCACGTATATCACTGCACCATAAGCTATTATGCATGCGTCACAAAATCCGTGAATTTCACGTAGTGTGTCTCCTTTTATCGATAACCATCTCGGTATTCGAAACTCGGCTAAGGCATGGAGTTTGGCATAGAATGCTGTCCATTTTTTGGCTATACCTTCTGGTAATGGTTCATCCCATGGAATGGCTTGCAACTTCCATGTGTCTTGAATCCGTTCGGATCATATAGGCTTGCGATTTCTGCCAAGAGTTTACGCTTGGTATCGGCTTTCGATTTTTGGCCTGCAGTGACATTGACACGAATGGCTAGTTCGTCGGTAGACTTGATCCATTTAAGACCAAGCACCTTAGTGGCTTCCTTTTCTTTGTCCTCAAGGACTACTTCGTCTCGGCTTTGAGACGATTGCATCAGCCCTTCAACCTCTATAGAGTTTGAATGCCATTTGCGGAGATCAAATCCACCGGATTTCATAATCAAATTAATTTCCTGGCAAAGGACTTCAAGGCCTTTAGTGGTCTCATGGCCTATGAGACCGTCGTCCATATAGAAATTATTTTCTATGGCTTTCGCGGCTTCTGGATAGGATAATGCGTTATCACGGGCACATTGTATCATTGCTCGGCATGAACAATGTACTGACGATTTCAATCCGAATACTACTGACGTCATCCAGTACTCAAGCAGCGGCTCATTAGGGCTTTCACGCCAGAAAATTCGTTGTAGATCCCATTGTGATGGGTCGACTTTGATTTGTTTAAACATCTTTTTGATGTCGGCTATAACGGCATATTGATGGCGACGAAAACGCATAATCTGATCGGCGAGATCAAATTGAAGCTTTGGGCCTTTCATTTGGATGTCGTTGAGAGATAGGCTGTTCGATGTGCGGCATGAGCCATCGTGTACGATGCGGAATCTCTTCTCCACATAGTGATGTGGGATGTAATACGATGCAGTGGATGGCTTTCCCCATGCTCGTTCGATGTATCCGTTAGAGATTTCCTCTCGCATGGCTTCGATATACTTTTCTCTAATGTCGTCTTTGGCCTGTAAACGACGTTCAAGTTGATAAAAACGTCTTAGTGCTATGGCTTTTGATTCACCAAGGGCTGGCATATTGGGCTTAATGGGAATTGCCGACTAAACAACTCATAGTGTGTCAGTGAGGGGCATGAATGTGTGCGAGTGTGTGTTGGGCATGAATGTGTGCGAGGCATTCAGAACAAACTCTATGATGCGGTTAGTACACCAAAATTCAATTTATTGATTGG